TACAATGTATGTAACATTGGGTGAGTGAGTGAGTTAAAAATTAAAGTCACGTCGGCAGTATTTCTGCCATATCGTGACAAAGAAGGTTAAATATCAATAATAAGTATAGGTAAATTATACAAAACCTGTCAATGAAACAACTAGAATATCACACAAATAAATGTAAAACTGAAATTAAATCTAAAATAGTTTAACTATAGAGGACAACACAATATGAAAACGAGCTATAGATCGGTATGTAACATTGGACTGCAGTGATCTGAGGAAGCCTCGACGCTGCATATACGCACGCTGCAACACTATAGCGCCATTTCACATCATTATCCCTGTATATGTATCATCATGCTGTTGAAGGCTGGATTGTCTGGTCCAGACTCGGTTATTTACAGACTGCCGCCATATAACTGGAATATTGCTAAGTGCGGCGTTAAACAGCAAACCAACCAACAATTCTCAGTTAATACAGTGGCCTTTATTTGTGGCATTATTTGATATGCTATGTAAACCATGCTCTTTCAAAAAGTATCTGATGCAAAAGAAGTGGAACACCCAAGTAGGTATCAATAAATTACATGATATAAAGCCAACTATCGGCTACACTCACTTGGGTCGTCAGTCGAGATTTGAGGAGGTCATTATGTCGTATTGGCCATACTACCCATGAGTATTTGTATTTGTTAAAAGGCGAAGATGTTCCCATTTTGCATCCCCTGTGATGAAGGAATCACGGTCAAGCATGTCCAGTTTGACTGTATTGATTTTTCCACCACAAGGGATAAATATTTCAATGTCAAAACAGTGAGGGATCTTTGTTTATAATGTTAATTTAATAAAAACTATTTTTTTACAGAAAAAAAAATGATTGCATAAATTTTGATAAGTTTTGCAAATAGATAAATGTTTAACAATTGGTAATTTAGATTATCAGCTGAGATTGTTCAGGGCTGTATCCTCAAAGGGGGTTAAAGTACTGTAAAAGTATTGTCCTGAGATTTTTTAAACGTAGTATTTTGGTTATTTTAATTTTTGCTAACTTTTCCCACAATCGCCAGCGGCTGAATGGATCTTGTAAATCCTGCTAGGGTCCTTGCAGGTAGTTAAAGTACTGTAAGTCCCCATGGTCCCGAGTATGGTGATCTACCTTCAGTTGTTGGCGATCTATAGCCTGGTTGTATAGTGTATAGTGTTTAGATTTCATTACTAGTTTATAATTAAAATATGTGATTGTCTAGTTATTTTACTATCGTTCGTTGACAGGTGTTTATAATTTCATTAAATTATTATAAATCTACAGCTTGAATATAAAATATTGCCGATGTAACTTAACATCTTAACCCATTAATGCCCAAATTCTTTTTCGGAGTAAATTTGTTATGATATATTCAAACACGTTTTGAAATGAACATAATCAAGTCTGATTGTAAGTAAAAACTGACTCGATGTCTGTGGTTTGGTCACATGTCCATCTGGCTGTCTTTGTCATATATTTGACATCTTTCAGGGGACATTTCAGAAGACGGTTTGCACGAATCGTTCCTGCGCATGTTATGTTCTTGTCGGTCAGCGCATCCATCAGATTCTAACTAATGAACAAGTTGTCAAATATGAGGTGATATAAACGGTTCTGCTATCATATCAGCCACAACAGATCCACCCATGCCAAGACCTGGGCTTTCCGCCTGTCACCCTCAAACACCTTGATAAGGCTCAAACTGTGAGACGTATCCCATAGGAAAACCCCAGACCTCTCACGTCCACTGTCCCATTATTGGGACAATATTCAAACGCAGTTTTACATAATGATAATCCATTGCAAAACAATTCTGACAGAGACATATTCAGTTTATGTCCAAAACATCATTTGTTAATCATTTGTCACATTTAGAAGTAATACAAAACATTATGGCATACCTTCCTTTTTATGTGCGGCATATTTCGGTCGAGCACATGTGAATTTGGTTTTATGTCAGTATCAACTGCTGGTGTATAGGGAAATAACTCTTATTAAGACAAACAATCTTAGGTAATGAAAAACAAATATGTCCCAAAATTGTGATCGTGGGTAATTATGGCTTAACTCACTCACTCACATTCAACAAATGTGTAATCATGATCAGGCCATTTGAGGCCTTGTCAGTGGGAACAACTCCCAACTTGTGAATGACAGCTGACATGGACAGAATGGGCCCAGCGTTCTCAATTCCTTGCCATGCGTTAAAGTTAAAACTATGATATTGTAAAGTGCGTGGTGAAATTCTTTGGGTTTGTTTTCTCGAAGAAAAGAAAGCACTTGATTTCACCTCGACTGGTGAAAAGAGTACACCAAAGAGTCAAAGATCTTTTTCACACCTTTCAGTCTCACCTCCTCAAGCTGAAAGAACAGACACACCACTTCATTCATACATACATATCGTTATCTTTCATATCTTTTGAAATTCTGATAAGAGCAAGCCTTTTCGTGTTTCCCAATTCATAACTAATGTGGCTCTGTGTATTCAAATGACCATGTCTCAAATAGTGAGTGAATGAGTAAGTCACAATATAACGTCCATTTGGCTATCTTTCAGCTACAATTAAAAGAAGTCACATTTGAAAGTATTTTCATATTCTCATTTTAACATGACAGTATTACCTACAATTTAAAGCACACGATAGAACAATACAATTAACAATTATATAACATGGGTTATAAAGACATTATTTACAATGCAAAGCACGGGCCACATGGCCACATGTAAAACCAAGTAATTTGTCATATACACATATAGATTTACAATTTATGATTTAAAACAATTTACTTCACGCAGTCTGATATCTTTCAGGTTTACTGCATCATAAGAATATTCCATCACAAGGGATAACTATTTCAAATCACGAACTATGTAGGATCTCTTTAACAATATCGGGCGGTGGGGGAGCCTAATGGTTAAAGCGTTGGCTCGTCACGCCGAAGACCCGGGTTCGAATCGTGTGAAGCCCATTGGGGTGTCTCCCGCCGTGATGTTGCTGGAATATTGCTAAAAGCGGCGTAAAACCAAACTCAGTCAGTCGTTTATCAATATCAGTTCTCATTTAATTATTGCATTTTTAAAAGAATTAGATTTGTTAAGTGATTTGTAAATAGATAAGTATTTTATGAATGGCAGTTTAAAGTAGTAACTCAGATTGTTAGTGGCTGTATCCTCAAGGGGGCTTAAAGTACTGTAAACTTATTGTCTTCCTGAGAGGGTATGTAAGTCCCAAAACTTTAAAGTACATTTAAACTTACCAACCTTTTTAGAACGTAGTATTTTTGTGATTTTAATCTTGGCTAATTTTTCTACAATCGCCAGCTGCTGAACAGATGGTGTAAATCCTGCTAGGGTCCATGCAGGTAGCAAAGGTACTGTAAATCCCCATGGTCCCTGGTATGGTGATCTACCTTCATTTTCTGGTGATCTGCAGCCCGGTTTTATATTGTATTGTTGTCTATAGTGATATCTTTGTATGATAGCGTACTAGTTTTAAATTAAGAGCTGTGATATTCTAGTAGTTTTACTGTCCTTCGATGACAGTTTTTTTTTTATTTTCTCAATTTATTGGGTTTCCTTTATATTGATATGAATGGCATTGTTCTCGTTACGATATGGCTGAGATATTGCCGATGTGACGTTAAATATTAACTCACTCACTCACTGCATCATACTGTGACTCAATTTCAATACCTTTCAAAGCCTTTCATCGCAAGGGATACACTGAGGAAGAATGTCCGCCTCTACTGTCCTTAAGCTGATATTCGTGAGTAACCAACTGCCCATCCCGCACGTCATTCAGTTGCTGGTGATTTATGGCCCGTTTTTATATTGTATTGACTTGGATTATAGTATGAGTTTTTAGTTACATGTAAGTTTTATATCTCTATCTGTGATACACTAGTACTTTTACTATTCATCGTAAACAGTGTTATAAATTATAATATTATTGATTTTTACTGATAATTACTTGTTCTCGTCACGATTTGGCTGAAATATTGCCGATGTGACGAAATATATTAACTCACTCACTCACTCATGTCTTGACTGACAAATCAATAGTGTCGCAGGAAGAGTGACGTTTACATATACAGTCGAACCCCAATGACGCAACTCGGTTGAAACGAATTCGCGGTTGTGTCAAAGTCATCTCTCGGGTTGAGCTGTATTTGAGGGTTGTTTTTGCAATTGTATATGTCCTACTTATCATGCAATGTCTTTAACCCAAAACACAATCTGCACTGGTCAAATAAGCTTATCATGACATTTTCAGGACGCGTTGTAAGACGAACCTATACGATTATGTTCATAACAATATTTGAAAATAATTCATACTGTGCAAGAGGTCAAAACGAACAAATATTCTAACTAGTAATGGGTTGTTCGTTCAAAACGTCGGAGAGGGAAATAGTGGATATCCATTGTACTCGTAGTAACAACATGTTAGAAATCCTTTCAGGACGACAGGTTGTGACATCGATATGTGAAATGCTATGTAATATGTCCACCGTCATATGTTGTTGGAGGGCAGCATGCCTACAATATCACAAGAATCGGTTGTAAATGCCGTTGTATCATCAGTAAGTGCAATAACTGTAACCATCAGGCATCCCAAACATCCTAGCATGTCCTCCACATACCCACGCAACCATATTTAAGGAACGTCTAAGGCAATAAAAAGTTACAAAATGAAACACACAATCTTTGCCCCATATCACGAACTTTATATATGATAACTTTAGACTTATATATACACTTTGTCAACGAGTACATTCAAGCTATTCTTATCTTTAGGTCCTGGAAGTAAAAGTATTTTTCTGACAAATTTTGAAAAGTAAAGATTGTGCGAGATATTGCAGTCGTTTCTAACTGGGTCCAGCCCTGTATATCCTGTCAGCGGGTGAAAATAAAAGCTATGGTCCGTCCGCTCTCATTGAATTTCAACACAATGAAATACCACAAAAAAGTTACTGTCAATCAAATTTATTTCAGCTGACCTGGTAAACATATTTTGCCAGAATAAATGTTTTGTTTGTGAACAATCAATCTCTATCTTACTCATCTAAAACAATTAACGTTTACCACGATTTTATGCAAACAGGGACATTTTGGCGATTCATGATAACTGTAACAATTAGCTCTTTTGCATCACTGGAACATCTTCCTCATCTCATGAATGTCGTGTGTACTGATCGCATTCCCAGAACAATGCCAGTTTATTGACAGGACATCCACAGTGAGGATTTTACTTCATCTTCAGTTCGCATTGTCTATCAAATTCTTCACTCTGTGCCTTTGTGAACCAGTTCTTCCAGTCGCCAGCTTGACCTGTAACATGCCATAGCAATAAGGCCTGATCCTTGTTTCTACAGAGGAATGATATATTAGCAGACTATATGGCACCAACGACTAGCCCAAACTTATATTACAGGATGGTTCCTGTTTTTCGTCCTAAATATGTTGCAGTGTCTTCTTTTCAGACCAAACTGTCCACTGTGCACCTTCGAACCACTTCTACCTATTTCTGCCATTCAACTTGTGCAAAAGCTGACAGGAAAACACGTTAATTTGGTCCTGCATTCTCAAATCAAACGGGACGACTGTTACAATTACAATGGAATTATTGCGTTCTGGTCTGGTTGTAAATTTCCAAAGGGCCTTCGATTCCATTAATGGGGACCCACTTGGGTTTGTTCGTTACGTGAACGGAATTCATGTGAGAAAATATTGTCTGTTATGAACAATATTCATTCCAAAGCATTGTCCTATGACAAAATGTCGAAGAACAATATATATATGATTATTTCAACTGTCTCAATGGTTTTGACAAGGCTGCATTTTAAGTCTTCTTTTGTTTTCACTGTTTATTAACCGGTTAGGGAATTGATGGAACTATTTTTGCTTTTGTACAATGAATATTTGTGAGCCTTTTTTTGTAGATGCAGTCCTCAAACTACGAAGGAAAATGGATGCCTTACAAACTTTTTGTCGCAAATGGGGTTAATAAAGTAATCTCTACAAAACTTGTGTTTTGGAAGAAATTGCGGCAAATTAAGGAATTAGAGAAGTGGGGGCTAGGGCCCACACCCGTCAGGTTTTCTACATGTTATTCCTATTTAGGAATTCTGTTTTTCAATAGACTGTGTTGGTCGAAAGCTGTAAAGACATTGGTGTCCAAGGATATTAAAGCCCTGGTTCCCCAAATATATAGCCCTATTATCCGCAAAATGTTTCTCCAAGATATTGTTCAGAATACTAGACGTTCAGGTTAAACCTATTATTATGCATGGTTCAGCTATGTGGAGCGCTACAAAATGGTCGTTTCTCGAACGTTTCGTAGCGAAGTTTTGTAAATTCGTTTTAGGAATTGATACTCTCATCAGATCGAAAGAAAAACATGAGTTCCAACATCAAGAATATATTATTCTCTTTTGGTTATGGTTTTGTTTGTGAAGCTCAAGGTGTTGGTCAGACGAAATGTTTCATAAATGTATTTATCGCCAGGTTTAAATATTGCTGTACGCAAATATGGTACGCTGAGGTATCGGTTTGCTCAAAACTGGAACTAAACAGACGTATGCTAAACTCATTAAGAATGGGTGAACTAGAAATTAGGCGTAGTATTGGAAGAAAATTGGTGTTGATAGGACTCTACAGATCTGTTTAGCAAACGATCTTTTCTTTAAAGATGTACCACCAAAGGGGTTTTAAGTATTGCAAACGTTTTAATCGTAGAATATATGTTTGTTTAATTCATGGCTAAATTTGTCACAATCTGAACGGATTGTGTAAATCCAGTTGAGGTGCATGCAGGTAGAAAAGTACTGTAGGACCTCTTGTTCGCTGGTATGGTGATCTACCTATAGTTGGTGGTGATCTTTAGCCTGTTTTTCGTATATTTTGTCGTTTTGAATAGTGGTTTGTAAGCTATATAAGCTATATAGTGTTATATCTCTATCTGTGATAATCTAGCTATTTAATAGTCCTTGCACGACATAATCTATTATATAACATGATGATTGACTAGTTTTAGCCACGATATGGCTGAAATACCGACCATGTGACTATAAGTCTTAACTGACTCTTTCACAGACTCGCTGTAGCACTCACCTTTTCTGAAATACCCACTTGATCCGTCTTGCCAGCGGTTGTGAAACGTTTGATCTTTGTTTTTCTCATTGGCATTTTTGAGATTCTTAAAGGAGCAGGCATCCGCTATCTCCTGGTACTTCTCTTCGGGAAGGGGACGATCGAGATATTCAGCCATTCTTCTTATTTGCGCCACACAATCCTCAAAGAGATGGCATACGCATGTATAGCATTCATGTACAGCTATAGTAATATCGGACCGTGAACAATGTTATAGTTATGTCAATAATCTTAAACATATCATAATATATCAGTGGTTGATAATACTGACATGTTATGGCATACAATCTTAAACATGAATATATAGTTGAAGTTAATGTTTTGCAGCAAGTTGGTTACAGCATTGTGTCATGTCATAAACACTTAGAGTGAGTGTGTGAGTTGAGTTTTACGCCGCACTCAGCAATAGTTCAGCAATTTGGCGGCGGTCTGTAATTAATCGAGTCTGGACCAGACAATCCATTGATCAACAGCATGAGCATCGACATGCGCAACTGGGAACCGATGACATGTGTCAACCAAACCTGCGAGCCTGACCACCCCATCCCGCATAAACACTTAGATTCCATATCTAATGGTTTTGCTTTGGTGGAAGTTACCTTATGTGGTCGATCATGGATGTTTTATGTGTGCTCCATTGTTCAGGCTTAAAATATTTTTGGTTCCGTGTGGTTACACATTTGAAAATGATATTACAATGCAAAGCACATTGGGTGAAATTGAGCTACCCATTTGTGTAAGGTTTATAGACTGTGTAGGACCACAAACTATGTACGTATGAACAAATACCATAAAAACAACAACCTACGCGTCATAAATATGAATGTTGTTAGTGGCTGTATCCTCAAAGGGGGTTAAAGTACTATAAAATTATTGTCCTCCTGAGAGGGTAAGTAAGTCCCAAAACATTCGAAGTCAATTTAAACATATCACTGTCTTTAACTGTAGGATATGTTATTTTTATTTATGGCTAGATTGTCTGAACTTGCTAACGGCTGAAGGGATGATGTAAATACAGCTTCAAATTCAGTTGTTGGCAATCTATAGCCTGTTTTTATATTGTATTGTCTTTTATAGTTAAATTATTTTAGATATAATTATTAGTTTTAAATTTATTTCTGTAATAATCTAGTTGCTTTACTGTCCTTTGCAGTCAGGTAAGTATTTTTTCTATCTTTATTTTTGTTCATTTTAGATTTACAACTTTCTAAGTCACGATATGGCTGAAATACTGACGATGTGACTTTAAGTCTTAACTCACTCTTTTCACAGACTCGCTGTAGCACTCACCTTTTCTGAAATACCCACTTGATCCGTCTTGCCAGCGGTTGTGAAACGTTTGATCTTTGTTTTTCTCATTGGCATTTTTGAGATTCTTAAAGGAGCAGGCATCCGCTATCTCCTGGTACTTCTCTTCGGGAAGGGGACGATCGAGATATTCAGCCATTCTTCTTATTTGCGCCACGCAATCCTCAAAGAGATGGCATACGCATGTATAGCATTCATGTACAGCTATAGTAATTGTTATAGTTATGTCAATAATCTTAAACATATCATAATATATCAGTGGTTGATAATACTGACATGTTATGGCATACAATCTTAGACATGAATATATAGTTGAAGTTAATGTTTTGCAGCAAGTTGGTTACAGCATTGTGTCATGTCATAAACACTTAGAGTGAGTGTGTGAGTTGAGTTTTACGCCGCACTCAGCAATAGTTCAGCAATTTGGCGGCGGTCTGTAATTAATCGAGTCTGGACCAGACAATCCATTGATCAACAGCATGAGCATCGACATGCGCAACTGGGAACCGATGACATGTGTCAACCAAGCCAGCGAGCCTGACCACCCCATCCCGCATTAACACTTAAATTCCATATCTAATGGTTTTGCTTTGGTGGAAGTTACCTTATGTGGTCGATCATGGATGTTTTATGTGTGCTCCATTGTTCAGGCTTAAAATATTTTTGGTTCCGTGTGGTTACACATTTGAAAATGATATTACAATGCAAAGCACATTGGGTGAAATTGAGCTACCCATTTGTGTAAGTTTTATAGGCTGTGTAGGACCAAAAACTATGTACATATGAACAAATACCATAAACTTACGCGTCATAAATATGAATGTTGTTAGTGGCTGTATCCTCAAGGGGGGTTAAAGTACTGTAAAATTATTGTTCTCCTGAGAGGGTAAGTAAGTCCCAAAACATTCCAAGACAATTTAAACATATCACTGTCTTTAACTGTAGGATATATGTTATTTTAATTTATGGCAAGATTGTCTAAACTTGCTAACGGCTGAAGGGATGGTGTAAATACAGCTAGGGCCCATTCAGTTGTTGGCAATCTATAGCCTGTTTTTATATTGTATTGTCTTTTATAGTTAAATTATTTTAGATATAATTACTAGTTTTAAATTTATTTCTGTAATAATCTAGTTGCTTTACTGTCTTTTGCAGTCAGGTAAGTATTTTGTCTATCTTTATTTTTGTTCATTTTTAGATTTACAACTTTCTAAGTCACGATATGGCTGAAATACTGCCGATGTGACTTTACATTTTAACTCACTCACTCACTATATGTTTGACAGCACGTACATGCCTGTCTACACATGTCCGGTTAAGACAGCGGCGGGTGGGTAGCCTACAGGTTAAAGCGTTTGCTGGTCACGCCGAAGACACGGGTTCGATGTCCCACATGGGTACAATGTTTGAAGCCAACTTTTCGTGTCCCCCGCCGTGATACTTCTGGAATATTGATGAACGCAGGGGAAACACTGTTTAAGAAATGTTTAAGAAATGACAAGTAGCAGAATATGAAGGACCTCTGTTGTAATTGAAAGCTAGAAATGTCAATCTTTCTAAAAGCAAGGTGCATACGGAGATTAGACGTTTACAGTATTACGTTCATAAATCCCCGAGTTTATACTTTACAAGTACCGCCATCATACAATGACAACGAAGACAATGAGGGTGAAACGTTACAGCGCAACAATAAAGTAACGGGTTACTTTATTGGAGTAACATTGCGCCCCTCTCAATGCACTACAGCCACAAGCTTCATTATGAACACATAAGGGTACTGCTCTCTTTTATCTACAGCCACAAGCTACGTTATGGACACATAAGTGTACTCCTCTCTATTAACTACAACCACAAGCTACGTTATGGACACATAATTTTACTGCTCTCTAATAACTACAGCCACAAGCTACGTTATGGGCACATACGTGTACTGCTCTCTATTAACTACAACCACAAGCTACGTTATGGACACATAACTGTACTGCTCTCTAATAACTACAACCACAAGCTAAGTTATGGACACATACGTGTACTGCTCTCTATTAACTACAGCCACAAGCTACGTTATGGACACATAAGTGTACTGCTCTCTATTAACTACAGCCACAAGCTACGTTATGGACACATAACTGTACTGCTCTCTATTAACTACAGCCACAAGCTACGTTATGGACACATAACTGCTCTGCTCTCTATTAACTACAGCCACAAGCTACGTTATGGACACATACGTGTACTGCTCTCTATTAACTACAACCACAAGCTACGTTATGGACACAACTGTACTGCTCTCAATTAACTACAGCCACAAGCTACGCTATGGACACATTATAAGTGTACTGCTCTCTATTAACTACAACCACAAGCTACGTTATGGACACAACTGTACTGCTGTCAATTAACTACAGCCACAAGCTACGTTATGGACACATAAGTGTACTGCTCTCAATTAACTACAAGCACAAGCTACGTTATGGACACATAAGTGTTCTGCTCTCTATTAACTGCAGCCACAAGCTACGTTATGGACACATACGTGTCCTGCTCTCAATTAACTGCAGCCACTAGCTACGTAATGGACACATAAGTGTTCTGCTTTCAATTAACTGCAGCCACTAGCTACGTTATGGACACATAATTGTATTGCTTTCAATGGAAAACGACCACACAGTTACAATATGGACACATAATTGTACTGCTCTCAATAGAAAACAACCACACAGTTACAATATGGACACATAATTGTACCGCTCTCAATTAACTACAGCCACAAGCTACGTTATGGACACATAATTGTACTGCTCCCGATTCACTACAGCCATAATCTACATTTTGGACACATAATTGTCCCTAGACCAAACAAAGGTACTATTATATGTATTTTACTGAGAAAGTCTAATCCCACATGTAACATGTGTTGCACATTATTCTAGGCTTCTAGGCAATACAGCTACTCGGTATTGTATTGAGCAGTGTTTAAGTTGTGTAACAATGGCTCAGCTGTCACACATTGTGTCTGTAGATTCAATGAGGGTAACAGTGCATCATGGGCATAAGCATGTTCCGCCTCTATTCACCGCAGCCACACATTATGGATACCACTGTGTGCTACTTCTGTGACAAGGCGTCACATGTTAACTGGTGAAGGTAATAAACTCTGTCAAAAAAAGAAACGCAACCCCTGTCCTCAGATATGAAAAATTCGTTTGAATGAAGTTATTGCTTCCAAACTAAATTTTATTCGAATGTATTGAAATGATACACGTAATTAATGAAGATTACCATCCAAACAACTGCATTTGTACGCATAAGTGTATTTTATTGCTTATTCCGTCACAACGCATGAAATGACCCTCATGGTGACTTCGCACAAAAAAAACACATGCAAATCATGAAAATGGCAGTTAATGTAGGGGTGTATAAAAGCCCATGTGCTTCCGGATTATATTCATTCATTTGTCGCCGAAAAGCTGTGTTAAAAATGCCACGATTGAGTGCTGCCGACCGAAATATCGCCATTGGTCGTGTTCAAGCCGGAGAAAGTTTTGGAACTGTTGCACGGCACCTAAATGTTCACAAAACAACGATATCCCGACTTTGGAGCCGCTACAACAACTTCAATTTGACCAACGATCGCCCGAGAAGTGGAAGGCCAAGAATCACGACCCCCCTTCAAGATCGGTACATCCGGGTCCATCACCTGCGTAATCGGCATGCCCTACCAGCCGTGACTGCCACACAAATACCAGGTTTGAGGAGAGTGTCAGCTCAAACGATTAGGAACCGTCTCAAAGAAGCGGGTTTACGTGCCTGTAGACCAGTTGTTGGACCTGTACTACGCCCCCTACATCGACGCCGACGCCTCAGGTGGTGCAACAACGTAAGGATACGGACGTTACAAATCTGGTTTTCTGATGAATCACGTTTTCTTTTGCAACGTCACGACGGAAGACAGCGTCTGTATAGGAGACGTCATAAACGTTTTGCGCCCATCTGCGTCCGACAGGTGGACAGATTTGGCGGAGAAAGCGTCATGGTTTGGGGAACCATCTCATACAACCAGAAATCAGACTTGGTGATCGTTCCAGGGAACCTGACAGCCCAACGTTACATCAACCACGTGTTAGAGCTTCACCTTCTCCCGATTATTGACCAACAGACACAGATTTTTTCAACGGGACAACGCCCGGCCTCATACTGCACGTGCAACAATGAACTTTCTGCAGCATTCCAACGTCAATGTCTTGCCATGACCCTCTAAATCACCAGACCTCAACCCTATTGAACACCTGTGGGATACTCTGGATCGACGCGTACGTCAACGTCAGCCGCCGCCACAGACGCTGCAACAGCTCGCCGTTGCACTGCAGGAGGAGTGGAGAGCCATTCCCCAGGAAAGAATCCGGCGTCTTATCCGTTCTTGTCCAAGGAGATGCCGTGCAGTGATTGCAGCGCGTGGTGCTCATACGAGATACTGAGAAAGACGCCCCCCTGGTGACCAACTGGTGTCTGTGAGATGACTTTTGAAATGACAATTTTAAACATGCCCATCTGGGTTATTATTCTGCCAAATTTCAGACTTCTGTCTTAAATAATAAAAAATGCCGTGTCGTCCTAAAACTTCAGATCAAAATCTCTAAAATACAGGGGTTGCGTTTCTTTTTTGACAGAGTTTACTTGTTCCGCTACAATGTTGAATCTACCCATATTGACAGTGTGCTACTTAAAAGTCATAGGTATATGGAAGATATATTTGCACTAATATACCTGACACTGTATGATGTATTCTCAAGACTAATTCTCTTGCTCCTGTAGCGGTTTACCTGTTTCATGTCTTCGTACTGCACATAGCATATTTCAAAACCTTTATGCACCTCAGAAACTCTTTTCCACTCCTTAACATGGTGAAATATCGACCCATAAGGAACTGAAAATAGAGATTAATAAAATAGAAAGGGCGTTGAATGGCTAACAAAACAGTTATATTTTGCCACGCCCCCTGACGAACTGCCGTGCCGTGTTTGGTTGACTAGAATAGGCAGGGTTTCTGTTGCAATATTAGGCTTAACGAGGTCATCAAGTTCATATTGAGGTCTGCATTTTATGTATTTATATTTGTAATGTGATGATGATTAAACAACCAAACAGAGGCGTAATTATCCATACACTTTATTTGTTTTAGTTTGTTTGGGGTGTTTTATTTTATTTTTATTTTTTTCGTTTTGCATTTATGGAGTTTATACTTTCATAAAATCCACAATTTTGGGGGAAATTGTTTTACTGAGCTACCCCGGCCATTTGTCTTTTACAATAAGCATTTGCAATCTCCTTGTGAATAAAGTGCGAGTGCAAATTGGTTTTACGCCGCTTTTAACAATACTCTAGCAATATCACGGCGGGGGATCCAAGAAATGGGCTCCTCATTGTGAATAACGACATATTCAATGTTTTCAAGATGAGAGTTCAATTGTCCTACAAGAGGTATTGAATGTGAATCACATTCTCTTTCACAGCACTCTTACTTACCTATCGGCACCAAAGCATTCATGTACAATCCTAAACACAACTATTGTCACGCCCAGTTGGGACAACCTGAATTATTACTGATTGAGAATCAAATGATCCGTCAACAAGATTTTTACCATTAGGCTGAATGAGTACATAAAGACGTTCATACCACAACCGTCTGTGAAGATCCTGAGAAACTCGTCCCAGGAGCCAGTAAATGCCACCTGCTGTGAGGCGTTGTCCTTACGTACTTGTTGGCTCATCTGACAAAAGTATGACACCGCACAGTCTTTGGGATTCCTCTGGACGTACACCACCTTGCATCTGCGTTCCAATAGCAACTCTGGCATCTGTCTGTAAACATCGGAAGCGTGTATCATAATATAAGTAACTTGATACCTTTCACGTTTCCTTGCTGTATATTTTACGGCATATAATTAATTTAGTGCGTGTATTTTGAGAAGAATTATAGAACAGTATCATAACATTTAATTTCCCTTAGTTTGTACTAAATGTAACTGGTTGGGCAAGGTAGGCTTACCTTTGTACGGGTACCTGGTAACATCATTATTTTATAGTGATTCTCATACATATATTCATTTTATTATCGGTATCATTAAGTACCTGGCTCATCACGGTTCCTACAACTGTCGTAATACACATTACCATTAGTACGTCACAATTATTCCTACCGTGGCAATAAATGGGTTTGCATGATCCTGGGTGATGCTAGTTCCTCCAGTTCTACCTCGGTCCTGTGTATCAGCGAGGCAGAGTTTTTCCAGTGTTTGGTGTATTCGGCTTTGCCTCCTACAATCATATTGAGGATTTCCCACGTCCAATGAGCTCCTGCAATATCAGAGAGAGAGTGGGATGTTTGGTTGAAGTCAGTAATTTCATAATTTTGTTTCGTTGACAGGATTCAACTCATTTCCCTTTATCAATAAATATGTATGAAACATTATATATTTCATATTGTATTTCTTTTTGACACAAGCACAATGTATAACTTATGAATTATTGTACAGATTCTAACTAATAAACTACCATGCAAAAGAAAGTTCACTTGACCCAAATAGAAACAAAATACTTATATGAAATTTATGATAAATATTTTTCAAACAGATATCATTTTCCAATAAATTGATTGAACATTCCTTGTAATGCTGGTCTTGCATTTGCTGCAATTTATAAGAGAGAGTCAGGGGGTCAGAATGAAACATAACACAAATAAGATTTGTTTATTCGAGAAATGGATTAGCGAGTATGACCACACTGGCATCCATACACGCCAACACACGTCTCCTAATTGACGTCGTAAGTCTTCAGATGACGTCGGCAAGAATCCTGTTCCTACAGTACAACAGAGTCTGTTCAAATTCCTGTCGGTTCGCTAGAGGTGGTACACGCTGTCTCAGATGACGATGAAGATGATCCCAGAGATGTTCAATCGGGTTCAAGTCTGGACAACGCGCTGGCTAAGGTAACGCTAACGTTGTACTGGTATTCTAGAAAACTTCTGGCGGTGTGAGGCCTTGCGTTGATTGGCTGCAAAATGACTCCTCTGGGCTCTTGGCGAATATAGGGCACCACAAAAGGTCTCAACACCTCCTCCCTGTATCTCCTGGCATTCCGATTTCCTCGGATGATGACCAGTTGTTTTGTTCTCTGGCCGAAAATGCCGCCCCAAACCATGACGCCTCCTCCATAGAACGGATGAACTTCTTGAACACAATTTGGCACTTGATGCTCTACTGTTCGTCGAAAACCTCGAACTCTGCAATCGTTTCTGAGCAGACTGAACCGACTTTCATCTAAAAGAGCACTCTCTCCAATTGACGTCGCTGCCACCGACGTATAGTTCATACCCATTGCACGTTCGTCTTCGTTGAAGGTGTAGACAGATCATTGCCATTTTAGGGAAGAGTGCTCCTCGTGGTGCTGGGTAACGGTAATAGCTCTTCCCGGTGTGCACCCGGGATCGAATAGGTCCACTGCACCCCATTGCTGGTCGTACGAACTTGGCAACATGTTTGACTTGTGTTGCGCCCCTGTGTTGGTGGAGGACCGGGTTCTGTTGCTTGGTTTCATGATACTTTAATATCACTTGTGTCTAATTTCTGGGTAGTTCATGGGTAGAACCACCCGCACATTACATTTCGTACACAGATATTGTCATTTGCGTCATTCTTGCTGGAGTATAACACCCCTGTATCCCTGGTGTCAACATCCTGGATATCCGGTGCCATTTGACATCGTCCTTTTTGACACTCCACAATGTGGGGGGAGAAGGGATGCCATCATGGGGGAGCAGGGATGCCATCATCATGGCTTCCCTAAAAGCTGCCTGACCTCCTAATGAAAAAAAGAGACGTCTAATCGAACTAGATCGTCCAGGTGAAACAGTAAACGTTGATTCTTGGGCTCGATTTATTGTTTATTTTATATTAAACTAAACCTCTTTGCAATTTCGAAAGCTATTTCTGGAGTTTGTGGGGCAATTGAACGTTGAATCACTGGTATGAAGGTTACTCTGTCCTCACAGGGCAGGCGGAGGAATAGCTCCTCCTCACCTTTCAGTGAACGGTCGCCAATTGAACCCATATGACTCAGTTGTCCACTATAATGCAGTGGAACAGCACACTACTAAAGAATAACGTCGTTGAGATTCAATTACTTTTACAGGATTTTCAACCGTCAGCATTATCTGTCCAAGAGATACATATACCTTTAATTTACGACAATACAGTGATTATCACTCATTCTCTCCTCCAGAAGTTAAATCGACTGGAGGTGCTGGGACGGCACGGTATCATACATAGCCCCGTGTCTCTTTATACCAATCTTCAAACTGTAGCTGTTCGTCCGGCCCCGCACATTGCGTTAACACTGTGCAGCTTGTACATCCCTCAATCTTCTGATATCCGAGTATCGGATCTGCAAAATCTGTATGATCAGCTTCCAAAGCCATGTTTCATCATGGGCGATCTTAACTGGCACAAGCCGCTTTGGGGTAATGTCCATAGAAAAACAGAGGTAAAATCTTGATGAATACATTTCAGGTACTAGCACACATTTACGGTGACTCAACCACCTATTTACATCCAGCTACTGTAACGTACTCTGCCCTCGATCTGCCCTCAACGATTCCATCTAATAAAATAAATGTGAATGGCTGGGCCATGATGATCTTTGTGGGAGTGATCACTTCCTCACCATTCTCAAAACCATAAGCCCTGTTGATGATCCACCTTTATCAAGAAGGAACTTCAACAGGGCTGACTGGTCATTATATGAGACTCTATGTGTTGATCATTTGAAGCACGAATTTTTCAGGAACAGAGAAAATCCTATACAGACTTTTTCGGATATGCTTAATGACATTGCTGACAACCTCTGACAGTCCTCTGCAACTCCACACATTTGCAAACCATGGTTAACATAATGAACGTAGACAGGCCAGAAAGTGTAGGGAGAAAGCCGAAAAGTGTTTTCGCAGACATCCTACAGTACATATTTTAGATAAAATTTCAAATGCCAAGGCTCGAAGCGCATTAGAAAAAATAAGCTTCAGTCTAGGAGAAACTATGTTTCTAAAATGCATTCCCGGACACTGATTTCAAAGGGGTGGACATGATACAAAGAATATAGGGCAAAGTTTCAAAATCTAGTGTTTACCAACTGCATGATTTGAAGTGGCATTTAGAAGCTGGTATGATGATGTTGGGTTCCAGGGAGGCACATCAATTCAGCGTATTCTACAAGCCAGTTCTTCGGACTTATTTTCTACCCTCATTTGACTTTTTACCACACATTAAATACCTCAAAAATGAATGCCAGAAAGCACGTTACTCGTTGAAAGTCATATTTGATTCAAAATGGGAAGGGGACCAAACTAACCTCCAACACATATACAGATCACTCATCGGCTCGAAACCTGATTACGGCTCTATCGTAAATGGTGGGGCCTGTAACAGCAACCGTAAACAAGTTCCACCACCAAGGTCTAAGATTTTGTCATGGATACTTCAGAATTTCTCCTGTTGACAGTCTTTACGTTGAAGCAGCTAGCCTTCTCTGAACCAACGCCGTATCAGTCTTTCGTTGCAGTAGGGGGCGGTGGGGTAGCCTAATGGTTAAAGCGTTGGCTCGTCACGCCGAAGACCCGGGTTCGAATCGCCACATGGGTACAATGTGTGAAGCCCATTTCTGATGTCCCCACTGTGATGTTGCTGGAATATTGCTAAAAGCGGCGTAAAACCAAACTCAGTCAGTCAGTCAGTCAGTCGTTGCAGTATGTTACAAAACTTTATTCAAATGACCCCAAACCTGCAAACAATGTGCGTTTAATCCCCCATATGAGGATTTGTATGTTAAAAAATCTTCCCGTATTCCACCTCTCGGAATGCGAATAAAACCATGTATATCTGCTGCCGACATTAATCAGGAAAATAAATCTCATTTCCACCTGCTTTCTTTTTACATTGGCCACATTGAAACAATAGAAACAAACGAATTATATTATAAACAAGAATTTAATCAATTAAGAAATAAATATAATACGTACAAATCCTAAGTTAGAGATGGATCCGAGGACATGTAGCAAAGCTCTTTGCATAAAGAATTGATGTCACGTATCGCGCGTGGCACGTGCCCTTTGTGCACAATGAACTTACTCACTTTGTGCATGCTTATTGACACCCGTTCAAACACCTGATACTGAAAACTTAAAAAGAACGGTAGATTATTCTCTAGCATCTGAATGTTGTGGAAATCATGTTTATTTCAACCTAAACTGCGCGACTTCATGCCACGGCTGGGGTAGTGGGTTAGCCTAGTGGTTAAAGCGTTCCCTCGTCACGCTCAAGATCCGGGTTCGATTCCCTACATGGGTACAATGTCGGAAGCTCTTTTCTGGTATTCCCCTCCGTGATATTGCTGGAATATTGCTAAAAGCGGTGTAAAACCGAACTCACTCACTCATGCAACTGATTACAGAAAATCAGTGTCCCCGCGCTGTGGTTATGCTGGACACTGGAATGGTCCGAAATGAAGTGGCCAGACATTTTGGTGTCCATAGAAACACGATATGTTCTCTATGGAGATGTTTCAACATAATGGGAACAGGGAAGATTTGCCACCTACGTGTCGTCCACGCGAGTCGACACGTAAACCAGACAACCACATTCGGCTAAGGAATTCATTTAAGGAATCGATTCCAGACTGCCAGGTTAACTGCTGGACCATTCCTGGCTTACGTCCAATTAGTTCCAGAACTGTATGGAACCGACTGAAAGAGCACAACGTGCGGTCCCGACGGCCTGCAATGCGTCCAAGTGTGCTCTAACGTCACCGTCAGACACGTCTTGCCTGGTGCAGACAGTATATATGGTTCAAGAGACAAATTTGGGACCGTGTGTCGTTCACTGACGTGTCGAGATATCACTTGGTTCAGATATCATAGCAAGGGTGCACACACGGCGAGGTGAACGGTATGCTGACTCGTGCTTTGCTCAACGTCGAGAGTTTGGTGGAGGATGAGTTATGGTGTGGGGGAACATCACATCTGCTAGTCAGACACAACCTTTCATTGTAAATGGCAATCTGACAGGTCTGTGATATAGGGATGAAATGATTGGGCAGCGCTTCATTCAAGGACAGAGGCGTAACTTGAAAGCCCGTCCGCGTGTAGGTCGTGTCGTGAAGACTTTCCTGAGACAGCGGAACATTCTAGCCAGCTGTTTCTCCGGACCTGTCCCTTATCGAGTTGGGATGAATGAAGCGACGTTTACGTCAAGCCCAGAATCAGCCATTGACGTTAGCTGTATTGGGACAAACGTTGGTTCAGACAGTGAGACACGGAAAACATTTCCCACGCTTTCTTCAATCGCTCAGTGCCGTCTATGCATCATTGCCAAGCCTGCATCAACGCCATTAGTAGAGACACACGATACTGAATTTGTGAAATGACTCTTGAAACCACATCTCCCCAAGAGCGTGCCTCCTTGCCTAATGTCATATTATACAGATTTCGATATATGTTATACAGCTATCTTGTCAACAGTTAGACAGTGATTAAGGAAAACACAAAAATCATGGTATTATCGTTTTGCATTGAAAAATGGCATAACATGAAATAATACACAGTAACTGAATTCTATTAGTATATAAACAACATGTGATATTTTCAGACTCCCGCTTGTGCATTAAGGATTTTAAAATCTCTCACGTAAACATCCACTTTCAATAGCAATCATTGGATTATATATTGATCTTGCTACTGGCGAATACGACATCGTCCTCTGTTGGAATATCTGTTAACGGAATGGCCGATTCTGCTGCTCAGGCACCACTCAACAAAACTGTGACACCATACTTTGTCTATACACTGACTGCAAAACCGTGTTTGGATTTTATATCCGTGATCGGATGCGAAAGAAGTGAGAGACCCATGTAGATATCAATAAATGAAATTAAACCCAAAACCGGTTACATCTACTTGGGTTGTCAGTCAGATTTGACGAAGTCAGCATGCGACGATGGTCGTATTGGCCACAGCAGATATACACATGAATACCTGCTGAAAGGTTAAAATGCCCCGTTTTGCATCCCTTGTGATGAGAGAATCACGATCAAGCACGTCTTGCTTCACTTTATTGATTTTTCAATCACAAGGGCAACTATTGCAGTGACGAAAACAGTAAAGAATCTTTGTTTAGCAATATAAATTATCTTTTAATAATTGATTTTTTTTTAAAGAATGAGAATTACTTGAAAAATGTTGATAAATGTTTTGTAAATAGATCATGTTCTTTAAAATTGGTAGATTAAAATTAGTAAGTGAGATTGAGAATGTTGATGTTGGTAAATGAGGGTTGATGGTTTTTTTGTTGGTATAAAGAGGTATATAGATGGTTGATGGTTTGATTTTGGAGGGTCGATGTTGGTATATGGAGGGTTGATTGTTTTATGTTGGTATATGGAGGGTAGATGGTTTGATGTTGGTATAAAGAGGCATAAAGAGGGTTGATGGTTTGATGTTGGTATAAAGAAGTTTGATGTTGTTATATGAAGTTGATGGTTTGATGTTGGTATATGGAGGGTAGATGGTTTGATGTTGGTATAAAGAGGTTTGATGTTGTTATATGGAGGGTTGATGTTCTGATGTTGGTGTATGGAGGGTTGATGGTTTGATGTTGGTATATTGATGTTGGACTATTAGGGTACAACAACCTATTCCAGATACCAGTGGACAACGAATTCATGTTATCGCACCACCTATTTATATTACAGACGTAATAGGTAAAAATTCCAAAATAAGGCCTTTATCATCTTATTGACGACAGACAATAACACCTTTCTCCCAGGATCTATTACTTTCGCCAGTATGGTAAACAGGTAAATGCCTATCGATGATAGAAAATGTTGCAAATGTTACGCCAGTGGCAATTCGGACTGTACACGGCAAATAAGATGGAATGAGATCATGTTATCCCACCAGCTACTACTACACAGAACACATCATCACATCTCACCTGACTTGGGATATGTGCACAGGAAAATATCATCTTCTCTGACTGGACGGGATTTCATCGTCTTCAGCTTTTCTGTCAACGTCTTCCTCTCGACAACACCGTCTATCTTCACCAGCGGAATGGTCCACCCTGCCTGTATATGTAGTTCTTCTCTTGTCGCCATTTGTCTCACGATGATCTGCTACCCCCTCTGTGGAACCTTTGTTGCCTTGTCGCTAGAACCTTACTGTAGGTGATGTATTATTTTCGGCGATAGCAAATGGACACGGGCAATATAATTGCCACACGTGATGCAAAAACTAACAATGATGTGATGCGTATAAATTCAGGTTCATGCTTTACCAATGCCTCCTCATGAATAAACATATACACAAATTAGTACAGGTTTTTCGTTTGTACACTATAAACATCAATTAATTATGAACAATACATTTTAACAGCGCTTGACTTCTTACGTAAGCAGATGCTCGGAGGCAATATTATATTACACATCATTAACCCAGTCTCTGTTTTACCATTACTTTATGTATACTGGTAATTACATGTTGCCTTCATCCATACCGTACATATGTGCACACAAATAAGATATTACGGATGGCTGGTGCTTTTGGTATGTGTGTGGGTTCAGGGGCGGACATAATGGTCGGCAATAATGTATTATTAAGTGAACATAAACATTTCGACATCTTGATGACCATCTTGGACTGAGTAGCAGAACCACCATATGACAGAGATAAAGTGTTGGAAACATTTAGCCACTATTTAACACAAATACGAATGAACATTTTACAAGTTTGAATAAAAGTGTGTATGATCAGGTTGGTAACGGGAAAGAAGGTAGTGTGAATTGTTTGACACCACGTGAACACTCTACTGACAGTAAAACAGCCATCAGGACACGTTCATGAGAACAACGACACGGGAGTCACAAGATGTATCAAATGCCCCTGCGTCGTTGTACAAGTCGACAACCAAACCAAGTTTGAGGGAAGCTTATACTAACCCAAACACTATTCAGCCTAGTACGAACACCATACAGAGAAACTCAGCCACGAATCGACGTTTGCTTGAACAACAACTTAATCAATACTACTGCAACGATATAGCATTCTGTCCGTGAACCAAGGCCTGGTGTAACATTTTTATCCAAGTTATATTGATTTGTAACAGGAAATATGCATCCAGAAGAATCTAAGATACATCAAAGTATTAACCTGAGACCAAAACGCGAAGCAGGTTTGATTTGAACGATTTACTAATGGTCCACATGGAAGATGACACAAAGTTCCGACCACACAGTCCAACAGTGCAACAAAGGCTAGATACGAAATCCCATAAGAAATTCCAACAAAACCAATTAGTTCTGTGGTGAGTCACAGGGCGTTTGAAACACATCGTATCATTCCATTCCTGAAGGATATTCCAACAGCGACAGGTTCAACTGTAAACAATGACACTTTGTTTAAATCCAACCATACTTCATTCCAGAGGCAACATCGGGGTCTCTGAAACGTCACTGTAGGAGAATGTAAATATTGTGTATTTTAAACCGAAGTTTATAATTTAGTTAAGCAATATAACACCCCTTTGAATTAACGAAGGACTCTACTAATCCTTAGGTTAAGTTATGTAGGCCTGCATGGGGGTTCTATTTTTCTTCAGACTCCTGGTCCAGCCACGGCTTGGCCAGTGATTGATTTGCTATTGTTTCTAGAGCATGTGACCAGGTCGGAGTTTTATGTACCCCAACATTCTTTTTCCTGGTCACTGCTACAATTTCAACTCTTGACTGCAACAATTTCAACTCTGTCTCCTTCATCACAGCACTGCACTTATTGGGGTAAGTTACTTTAGATGTCTTTGTATGTATATTATCATAAGGAGGTTAGGATATGATGTTTTAGTCTAGTTAGTTTCATCATTTTAATCATATGTCTGAAATATATTACGTGTTGTAATATCATCTACATGCTAATATGATATTTTATATGCTTAAAATCATGACACACTGTTATGTATTATGATTATTACACGTTTGGTTAATGTAGACTATTTAAATAGTGTATACATTGTAGATTAGGTACATATTATGGATGACATGAGAAAGTGTGTGTGTGTGTGCGTGTGCGTGTGTGTTTGTGTGTAATATAGATTGCATTTAATTGTATTATTTTATTATTAGGTCTTTGAAGCACTCATTTGCCACTGGTGGCTTAGACTGTGGATTATCTGCGTCGCTGAGACGAGGGTTTTATCACCTGATCCATCCAAGACAATAAATCCCAGAACCCTTTACAAGTATTCGTCTGTGTTCAATCTTGACGTGATACCGCTGTTACATCACTATCGACGGCCACCAAAAGTGTCAACAATGTACAGGATAACGTGACAAACACCAATCAACCCAGTACTGCTACATCAACAGCAACTATTATTCTTGACAGAATGCGACACATTCCTAAGGTTGGTTTCATTTGTTGCTTAACGCCGCACTCAGCAATATTCCAGCTATATGACGGCGGTCTGTAAATATTTGAGTCTGTACCAGATTATCCAGTGATCAACAGCATGCGCATCGCTCTACGTAATTGGAATACGATGACATGTCCCAACCAAGTCAGCGAGCCTGACCACCCAACCCCGTTAGTCCACCAATCTTGGGTTGCTGAAGACCAATTCCAACCCGGATCTTCAAGGGTTCACATTCCTAAGGAATGCAACACTTCTACCAAAAAGGCAGCTTGAACTCCATCAACAGGTAATTCAGCCATGAAATATGATGCAGTCATGTCTAGGCCGGTGCCAAGTCTTCATCAGCCAAATCCATCCTCACCTCCAGGCAGTTAGGGACAGACACAATATGAACTACGCTACCTGAATATGGAAAATACTACAACAAAGAATTAATAGTTTCAGGGTAAAAATGGTGAATCTCGGAATAAATGGTGAATCTCGGAATAAATGTCAACCTCTGAGCCTTGTATATCTTATAGCGGAACCTCCCAAATTATTCCCAGTAAACTAAAACTTCACTTTTTTAATCGTAGAATATGTGTAATTTTACTATATGGCTAGATTTGTCTCAATTGCTAACAGCTGAAGGGATGATGCAAATCCAGCTAGGGCCGATGCAGGAAGAAAATGTATGGTCCTTAGTTTGGCGATCTACCTTCAGTTGTTGGCAATATATAGCCTGTTTTTATATTGTATTGTCATCTATAGTAAAACTGTTTTAGATCTAATTACTAGTTTTAAATTCGAATCTGAGATAATCTAGTTATTTAACTGTCCTTTGTTGACAGGTTTTTACATTTACCATTAATTAATATGTATAAAATTAATTGTTCCCGTCACGATATGGCTGAAATATTGCCGATGTGACGGTAAATTGTAACTCACTTACTCATTTGCAGCGAAACCACAAGCCCCAAAATACATGAGGTAAATCCCATTAATAATGACACCGAGGATGAAATTACATAAACAGAAGTCATATCATTTCAATCCAAAGTGTTCTATTTATATACTACCTACGACTATCGTAGATTGTAGATCGACCAAAGAAAGCTCATAAGTAGGTGTATCAGCACACCTAGCCTGTTAATATACAGTACAACCAGAAATTATTGAGAATTTAAGATTATAAATTATGTTTTTTCACTCATTACTCACGTATTAAATGTGCATATTAGCAGAACATAACTCCAGATTCAAAGGTGAACAGTTAGCAATGCAGGCTTCAATGCGGCGGGACATACTACAGATCAAAGAAGTTAGAAAGTCGTGGTCCATGCTGTTCCAATATCAGACCACCTTTTCTTTCATTTCAGCAATATTTGTCAGATTTTTCTTATTGACACTTTCCTTCATAAGTCCCCAAACATTTTCTACTGGATTTAGATCAGGGCTATAGCTTGGCCAAACTAATAATGTCATATTTTGGGTCGAAACCAGGCCTGTGAATGCTTTGAACGATGTTATGGGTCGTTGTCTTGCTGGAAAATCCAAAGATTTCCACAGAACACGTGAGCAGATGGAAGTAAATGTACCCTCGAGAATATCTGTGTACCGCTTACTGTTCATATTCCCTTCAAATACACAGAGGGGCGTTGCCCCTAACACAGATATGCCACCCCACACGTTAAATTTCGGTCTGTACTTTGGGCGCTGATACAAAGGTTTTTCAGTTTGTTTAGTCCAGAATTTCAGTGTATTAGGAAACAGCCACACAGAAATTTATCTGAGAAAATCACATTGTCCCAGTTACAATTTCTATGCTGTAAGCACCAGTTCAACCTTCGCTCCTTTTGTTCAGGTTTCATGATCGGTGATGGAATTCCTCGACTTTTCATCCAAACCCATTGCATGCAGCTCAGTTTTAATTGTCTCCTTACAGACAGCCACAGTTCCTCTATCAATCATATCTAGCCTTAAGTTTTCTAAACTCCTTCGTTTGTTTTTAGAAACAATAATACCAAGCCGCCTCCTGTCACCGACAGTCAATTTTCTGGGCCTACCTGCGCCTCCCTGGTGCTCAATGCCATATCCATTTGCAATATTTTTTAAAACACGATAAACAGTGGACAAAGTGATGCCTGTCCTACTTAAAATCACTTTAGCTGATCTGATGTCCTTGTTATAATACTCTAAAATCAACTTCCTCTTCTCTAAATCATCCATACTGAGGATGACTTAAAATGTCGTCTGCTAGCAAGTAAACAAAGTGGGATAACTCTTCACAAACTAACGAAAAAAGGATTAACGGAGTTGTCTCTCTTGAATGAAACCAAGCACTTGATAGCTGGTCAAGGTTGTTTATACTAGAATTCCAATTAAACATATTCCTAAAATTCTCAATAATTTCTTGTCATACTATACATGTTCACCTAATCACACAGCCTAATACTAAATGCCCTTAAAGACCTCCCAAACTGACACAGAAGTGTTTTAGAACGCAGTCTATACATCTGTTTATATCTAACCGACACACGATATATAGATCTTATAATGAGTGACTGCGGTTTTACAAATAGCAATACTTAAGTAATATGAGAGCAGGGGACGCCAGACATAAACTTCACACATTCTACCAATGCTGGAATCGAACCACTGGTCTACCCCCGAATGTGATTTGCTGGAGGGTAGGTTAGAGTGACATAGGAAGGCCGAGTAAGTTGAACTTATTTATTTCGATAACATCATGCCTGTGCTCTCGGTGTCAG